TTTTTTGCGGAACAAATCTCCGAAAAAAGTTATGAGCGTTTAATTGTCTGATTTTATCAAACTTTGAGTGGCCTAAAATTTTCGCGAAAATCCCTACAAACTTATGCGTGCTTTTTTCTGGCTGTGCTCTTTCCTCGTAGTCAATATATTTGATACAAAGTTGACACTTCCAGGTGTTTTTGTACTGCTTTCCGATTCGCGCAATTTTGTAATCACTACGTGACAGGAGTACTAACTAAGCGGATTGCCGATTACTTGGAAGAGTTTACTTAACTGCTATTCCAGACCTACCAGTTGGCAAAAAATGTGAAGATGACGAAATCTACCACATGGAGTATTGCTACTCTTTCAACGAGAACCCAATGAACTGGAGCGATGTATGAAATTTCTAGAATTTTTGTGATCATAATCGACTCTAAGGATATTTCTAGGCTGCCAGATACTGTCATGACAAGAGTAGAGTACTGGCTTTGATTGAAACCGATGATGATCAAACGTTCTATGCTGGCTATCTTCAAGGAATGTTGGCTGCCACACAGGCTCAGAGTAAGAGGCAGTATTTTTTAAATTATTGTAAAAAATCGTGGTCCTTGCAGCCCAGGGGGTAACTGGTGTATGGACTTCGGTTCGGTCTGTCCCGAATGGAACTGAGCCAGCTTGGGTAGTATTCCCTGGATCATATGTGGTTGAACGATACTATTGGCAACCAGGAGAACCGAGTATCTATCCGAACTATGATGGTAAATAACCTGTCATTCAATTTTTGCGTCAATTTTTTTTCTCTTCAAATTTCAGACATTTGTGTTTCGCTACAGCGTGATAGTATGTATCGTAACTGGATGGCCGAGCCCTGTGATATGAAAAATCATGTTGTTTGCAAAAGAAAAGCTGTGGATCAAGGTCAGATATGGTCTTATAGATTGATGCCTAATATATGTCCCTGCGGTGACGACAACATTTTTCCGAGATTGAATGCCATGCTTCTGGTTGCTATTAACTTGGTTGTACTCGAGCGTAAAATTTGCCATGAAGCGCAAAATCTCATTAGTCACGCGCAAGTGTTGTCGGCAACGCAAGAACACTATAAAGCAGATTTATGAAGCCGTTATACAGCTTTGATAATCTGACACTTTCGATTTTCGGCTTCATAAAATAGTTAGGAAAAAATAGGCTGTCCAGTACGACATTCTAATACTAAGACCTTATAGGACCAGACTTGTTGTGGAACCTAATCTGCATCAAAATCAAGATATGAACAAATGACTGACCTAATTTTGGGCAAATTCGTAGTACTTTTTTCGGTTTGTATCCAAAAAATTTACTAATTCCTTGATTCTCGGGAAGCAGCGAAATTATACATACCTTCCAAGCATGAAAGAAACTCAAAATTGGATTGCTACACATTGTAGACTGTTTTAGCCAAATGATTACTTTTCTAATATGTTGATTATCTCCAAATACCGTTGCACCAAAATACGGAAAAAATATTTTAGATGCTTCCAAGAAGAGAATGGCTCAGTGCATGTGTCCGGAGGAATTTGGTGGCATCCGATGTGAAGAACGGACTGGTGGTCAGTCAAACAAATTTTTTCAATAGCTCTTTCACTGAGGAAGTTAGTTTAGAGATTCCTGCACAAAATCTCTCATGCGCATCTGCGCCATTCGAATTTGCTTGCCGGGATGGTGGCACAATTCATGTGGAGTATGCTTCTTATGGAGCCGTGGTAAGTAGACACTTACCTGGGA